GCTCCGGAGCTATGTCTCTCTCTCTCTCTCTCTCTATTTCTCCGGTAGGCAAATATGCCCCCGCCAGGGCGACCGAGCCACCGATAGTCGTAGATAAGACCCTGAAGCTCGCGCGAGCGCGTCCGTCACGACGGCACGCGGAGGAGCGCGAATGGCGAGCGCTGACTGATTTGTAGGAGACGGTTAATCCGTCCGGATGTGTAGTAAGGGGCAACGCGTGCGTTCGTCGCGATCGATCATAATGAATGAGCTCGATTTTCAGGGTCACGGTGTACAGCGAGAATACAAATTGTCGGCGTGCCGGCCGGAACGGTGATTTCGCACGCGTGATCCCCTCGAATCTCGAACAGGTCGCGAGGAATCCTCGCCTGAATCAGCGGATCTCGCGTTTCCACACTCGCGTCTCGGCGGTAGGAAAAACGAAGCTTCGACTTTCGTTCCCAGCGAAACTCAGCGCCTCTTTTAGGGACGACGACAACGCCTCGACTAGATCATCCACTCGGATGCCTCTCGCACCGTCGCCTCGCCGTTCACGAGATACGATATCGAGACACGCGACCCGGCCGACACTCGCAAGCTGACACGAGCCGTGACGGCCACCAGAGGCTGGGCCTTAGACAGGACCAAAAGGTTCGCCCGGGCATCATGCCATTACCGCGAAGAGAAACATCGAAGAATTACGGAAATGAATAGGCCGCGATGCGTTAAGCGCATTATAACGATCAGAAATTACGATGATTATAGCGGCACTCGCGGTGGACTCCCCGTGCAACTTCGCCCCGGTTCTCGAGAGAGTCCCTCCGCCGGGCGACCGGGCCCCGGCCAAAGAGACGAGCTTTACGGTGGGGCCCTCCTTATTAAAGTCTCGTGACGCGCCCCACGAAACGATCGCGTCCCCATAAAAATCTCTCTCCCTCTCTCCTTCGCTCTCTACTCTACCGGCTCTCTCTTCCCAAATTGGACCGTGAATTACAAGCCGCGCGGCCACGGCGCGCGTTTGCGCCCCTAAACGACTCTTTTAGCCGGCCCAAGTATAGATACCGTTATTAACGCGCGGCCAGTTTATATACACCTCTAGTGCATCGTTATGCGCCCGGCTGCCAGACGCAAGTACGATTCCGCGGGAGCGTGTAAATTATCGTCGTTTCGGTAAATACGCGCGATGTCAGGCCGGTGTTTCGGGCGTTAATAGACGGTGACAGACGGGTTCGTTGAACCGCCTTATCCAAGTAAGAACGCGCGACCGCCGCGAGTTTTCACGACCGGTGAAAAGAGTGTAGCAAGGCGCCAGCACCGAGATATCATTTTTATTTTCGTTTCGTTAATCGTTCGATCCCGGCCAAAATCTAACCGGAGGTAAGGAATACGCCAAATATGTTGATTTAATTTGCAAATGTATTTCGTATTATCGTTCCGAATGTCGGGAAATATGTAATAATCGTAAGAATATATTAAATCGTCAATTGTGAAAGATGATGAACGTGTCAATTGTAATAAATTGCAAATATGTCGATTGCAATAAATTGTAAATATATCAATTGTAATAAATTGTAAATATGTCAATTGTAGTAAATTATAGATATATCAATTGTTTAAGAAGAAATACTCTTCTCTCAAAATATATAATAAATCGAAAAAAAAAATATATATATGTATCATGCTAAATATACACATAAATGGGTCATTTTTTGTTGGTGCCTCTTCGATATTCGCGCGACGTCGTTTATTTTTATCTCCGGCGGAATCACGCGAGTGAATTTCAACTCGCGCGCAAATGGACACTGGAAGATGAGAACTGAATACAAACATGAGTTCTGAATACTCGAGCGAGCGATGTTTTTAATGGCTCGGCGATCGTGAGAAGGAAGGAAGGAAACGCGCGCGGATCACTCGGCGAGCTTGTTACATATACCTCGCTCTACGCGAAAGACGACCGTGCTTACTCTCCGCACAATGGACCGAGCTTGCTTTTTGCTCGCGTTTTACGAATACCCGTACGTTGCTTCCTCGACAGCTCGGCCGATCGCGGACGAAGAAGAGCTTGTCAACGAAATTCGCACCGGCTCCCGAACGGCACGGCAGCCCAGTCGGCGCCACGAAAAACCGTACGTTCGTTCTGTACACGTCCTCTGCTACACAATTGTCTTCAATGAATTCTCGACCGACCGTAAGAAACATCTGGAGACGCGGATAGTAACTTCGTCGCTTCATCAGCGTGAAATTTTCGAAGCGACGAGCGAATGACGTGAAAGGACGCGCGACGGAGCGGACGATCTCTCGACGCGTATCCAGGATCCTCATTAACTCCCGTTGTCGCGGGAAGTCGCTCGTACGTCGGACAAACAATCGGGGAAAACAGCACTTGCGTCGGCCACGCCGACAACGACGACGTCAGGCCGCGAGTGAATTCGCGCGATACGCGAAGTCCGGCTCGAGTTCGCCGATGCAGAAGGATATGACACCGCGTTTCGTCGTGAGCACGCGTCACACCGACACGAGCGACGATGTATCCCGTGATCTTCGAGTCGCGGAAAATAAATCGCGAGGGAAAGAGAAAAAAGGAGAGCGAGCAAAGTCGAAGGTGCGCGGTCGACGCTGCAAAACCGTTCGCGACCACCTACGCGTCTCCCGACGCCAAGTCGAGAGCCGCAAAAAGGCGGACAGTCGATCGAGACGACTCGATAGACGGGAAAAAAGGAGAAGAAACGGCGGAACAAAGCGGCACTGAGAGACGAAGAGTCGGCCGAGGGGCCGAACAGAGAGGAATCGCGCGCTACTCGACCAAGTCGAAGAGAATTCGACGGGAAGACGTCTCGCTGCGGAACGTTTCTACGCGCAGATTCATATAACGCAATCGCGGAATGGGTAATCGATAACGCGAGAATTATACAGCAAATATTGAAGCAGGTTGGAAACGTTGATACGCTTGATTAATCAGTGCCGATTACCAAGGCGAGCGGGAGCGAGCAGCAAAAAGGTGCGTCAGTACGGAGATGCCGGACGGAGCACCGCGACACGTAACCACCTACGCGCCGAACGGCTTTAAGAAAAAATGGTGGCAAAAAAAAAAAAAAGAGGCGGAAAGTGAAACCTTGAGGCGCGAACAAAAAGCGGAAGACACGATCGACCGATCGATCTCTCGTCCTGATTTCGCATGTCGACTGCTCGATTCGGATTTCACGCCGCGCGGTCATGCTTGTTTCTCGTCGGGACGATCCCCGACGGTCCGGAAACAATCGAGACAAGGCGATGCCGGAAATCAAAGATCGAGCTGACTTCAATTGGCGTTCGCGCAGATTTTTCCGGCGAACCGCGGGGGCTCGCAATTCTGACTAGAGTGAATTTTGCGGCTAAATCTTCGCGATAGCGGGCGAAGCCTCGCGCGAGACGACGGTTTGAGAGCGGTTGTTATTTTTCGCGGCTTCGTCGTTTTCTCCCGCGCTGCTTCTCGTTATCCTGTTTTCCGGGTCGTCCGAAAATTCGCCGCAGCGCGATCTGAATTTTACCCTCGGCGACGGCTTCGTCACCTTTAACGGCGATATTGTGTATCGCGCGCGTGACAAGTGCGAATTAGTTATGCGCGCCGAGATTCCCAGACTCGCGGCGACAAAAAACGTAACCGCCAGACAGTTTGTGTGGAGAGACGATCGGCAAACAAGCTCAAAGAGGATCGGGATAGAGGCGAAGCTGTCCCCGCGCGCAACGACGCGATCTGACACATCCTGGTGCGCCATTTTTCCGGAAAAAAGAAACATCGACTCTTTTTTCACACACATTATCACACGCGCTCCGCTATTTCGCTCGGATTTTCCCCACTTTTCCTTCGTGCCGGAATTTCGAAGATGTTGCGACCTAACGACCGATGATTGATGCGAGCGAGAGATCGCGCCCGCCCTGAACAATTTTTCACTATACGCGATTAGCGCACCATAATCTGAGGGAAAATAACTTAATAACTTTTGCGTGATACGATATAGTTTGTCATTGTTTTGCGCACATTACGCCTCGTGACGCAAAATACCGCGAAACACGGACTGCGCACACCGTCGTGCACACGTCAGCTTCGCACCTATCTGTGTCTGAGCCTCTTTGGTACAACAATCGAGACAAATGAAACAAAAAGCAAAGAGAGAGAGAGAGAGAGAAGAAGAGAGAGAGAGAGAGAGAGAGAAAGAGGCAATGGGAGACAGATCGCAAAAGAGAGATAGAGAGGAAGAGTTCTCCGATATTTTGCGCCCAGGTAGCGATCGGAAGTCACGAGATTCCGCGCGCTCCATCGGACGCACACCGATCGTATCGGTAATGACAGTAATAATAGAGTTATAATAATCGCAGTGGTAAGAAATAATAATAATAATCGTAAATGACAATAATAGCGGTGACGAATAATATAATAGCAATAATAATAAGATCACCAAAAATAACGCCGGGTTTATCATAGTTATAAACATTTTTTTCGGGACCAGACGGTGAACGTCATAATGATATATAATAGTAATAATAATAGTAATATAATAGTAATAATAAAATAAACACAATAATAATAATAATATAATATCGATAAGAACATCTCGGGTAGAACCTTCTGTTACACAGAGACAATTACATAGACACAATTGGCCGAAAATTCATCGCCCTACCGCGTTCTCTCTCACATATATACATAAATCTGTTTCTCTATTTATATATATATATATATATATATATATATATAAAATTTTTTTTCGTTTAATATAGAGACTTGCACGCGCGTGTGTGTTTGTGTATATACATATATATTTATGTGTACTTACTTTTTATACAGAAGGGGTTTTTCGCGTGAGGGGGGATCTGTCTTGCTGTCTCGCTAGGATTTCGCACGCGCTTTTCCGACACGCGTTCCCTCTCCGATGTGCGCCCTGTCCCGTTTTTTTTTTATATATAATCTGTCCCTCTTTTTTTTTTACTTCGTCGCGCCGCGTACTCTTTGTCTCTCTCTCTCTCTCTCTCCCTCTCTTCCTTCTCTAGCTCTTTCTTTCTCTCTGTCTCTTCGTCTTTCCTTCGCTCCTTCTGTATCTCTCTTTCTCCCTTATTCCTTCGTTTATTCCAGCTCCCGCGTCTGCTTTTCGAAAGTCCTCGCTCGCCGGCGACGACGACGACTCACGCTCTCGTTCTCACTTAACTTACTAGCGCTTTATCTAGTACATTATTTACAGTCCATATTTACTTATGTTACATCATCCGCCGGGAGTTTGCACGGAGCAAATCCCGCGCGAACACAGCACTCGCCCCTACGTACGTTCCTTTCTTGTTACGCCCGTTCGTCCGTTCGCGTTTCGGATTTCGACGACAAGGGGAAATGACGGTTGGTCCGTCGGTCCGGCCGCGCGCGACGACGACGACGTCACCCCCGCAATGTCTCTCTCGCGTCCGATATCAGGGTCTCGCGAGAGCGAGAGGGAGAAGGAAACACACCTTCGTTCGTTCTTCCTTCAGCCGCACCCTCGAGTCCATCTTGCGTCCGCGCATCCCATCCTCTTCCGTCTCTGCCGGCGGATCACCGCCGGATCCGAGAGAGAAGCACTTTCGCTCACCGACGAAACAACAACAACAACAACAACAAGGTCCGCGGTCCAGGACTCGAGGAACGGACGAACGGGCACCGACCTGGCCGCGCGGAGGAGGAACGTCATCACCACGGCCGTCGTTATCCCTCCGGAGAGGACGCGACACTCGGTCACCAGCGGCGGAGCGCGACAACGACGACGACGACAATGAGATAGTTGGGCGACGATATCCTGAAAGAATCCGGGCGAAGGGTGACAATCTCGCGCGACGTTCCGCCGACGGTCGCGGAGATACGTTCACGATGCGACACGCACACACATACACACACACTCTTTCTCTCTTCCTTCCCTTCGTCTGTCCTTCTCCCATTCCCTTCCATCCTCTCTCGGCCTGTTGCGCGGTCAAGGTCGACAAAAGATCGCCGACCGAGCGCGTCAGCTCAGCCTCCCCGGTGGACCGGTCTCGGCCTCGTTAAACCCCGTTGAATCTCGCCGAACGAGCCACCATTCCGTACCTTCGTCCCGGTAACGAGCGCCGCCGTCCGGCAGGTAGGAAGGGCGCTGCGAGTCCGTCAGCTACGACGTCGTGTAACTGCCGGTGCGCGCTTGAAGGTAGTGATGATAGAACGGCGGCAGGCTCTCCGCCGTCGACGACACGTTCGCCGAGTTCTGCGAGGTTATCGCGAGGCCCAACGGGGGAGGCCCCGGCGAACGCTAGTGGGCCGTGAGCGAATGGGCAGTGATGCCCTGAGGGCTCAGCATCGGCGGACTGTGGCTGTGGCCCATGGGCGAGCCGTGCAGGTGATCCTGCGGATGATAACTCTGGTGGAGGCCACCCTGACCCTGGTGACCCGGCGGCATGCCCTCCATTATGCCGTCGCCGAGCGTGTTGGGCGGCGTCATCCTCTTCTCCTTCTGCCGTCGATTGCAGAACCACACCCTGACCACTTCCTTCTCGAGCTGCAGGCTGTCCGCCAGCGAGGTGATCTCCTGCGCCGACGGCTTCGGCTGTTTGTGGAAGTGCTGCTCGAGCGCGCCCTTCACCGACACTTCGATCGACGTCCGCTTCTTCCGCTTCCGGCCTTGCTGGGCGATCTTGTCGATGCTGGTCGGCGAGCCGGTCGTCGAGTCCGCTTCCTCCAGCCACTTCTGCAGCAGCGGCTTCAGCTTGCACATGTTCTTGAAGCTCAGCTGCAGCGCCTCGAACCTGCATATCGTCGTCTGCGAGAATACGTTGCCGTAGAGGGTGCCGAGCGCGAGACCGACGTCCGCCTGGGTGAAGCCGAGCTTGATGCGCCGCTGCTTGAACTGCTTGGCGAAGGCCTCGAGGTCGTCCGACGTCGGCGTGTCCTCCTCGCCGGCGCTGTGATCCCTGTCGAGGGGATGCCCGGCGTGCAGCGGATGGCCCGACGGCGGACTGTGATTGTGCGCGTCCCTCAGGTGATGAGGTAGTCCGGCCTGATGGTTGTGCAGCTGATGCGGATGCTGATGCGGGTGCTGGTGCAGCATGCCGTTCATCGCCGCGTGGTACTGCTGCAGGGTGGGCGAGGCCGCGCCACCGCTGGGGTTGTAGTGCGCCGACGGTACGACCGGTGCGTGCCAAGAATGCGGCGAGGCCATACCCGGGGACTGGTGCGGTCCCCGGTGATGCATCCCTTGGTCCGTCGCCGTCGCCGCCGCCGCCGCCAACGGCTTCACGTCCAGGCTCGTGTTCGTCTGATGGGGATGATGATGCGGATGATGGGTAGTGTGGTGCATACCCATCGACGCGGTCCAAGGATCGCTCCCGGGTTGTAAGCTCACCCATGGATTCGTCGTGGAGAGGCTCGCCGCCGGATGCGACAATCCGTTCGGCGACGGCGAGGACGTCACCTGGTGATGATGGTGATGGTGGTGATGATGCTGCGGCGCCGGCATGTACTTCATCTCGCCAGCGTCGGCGGCGCTGCGAGGCGAGCCCGAGGAGTAGCCACCCACGGCGATGTTCATCCCGATCGTTGTACCTGAACCACCATCCAGGTCGGTAGAGACTGCGCTACTAACCGGCATGTACGTGGTAGCGGCCATCTACTTTTTTCCGCTCGTCGAGGGGCTTCGCGAAACCCTCTCGGTCTGTCGACCACCGCGGTGGCCCGACCACGTTTCTCACCCTCGCGAGCAGAGCGCTCACACGACGTTCACCGAGGGGTTGACCGGATAAAATAGAGAGAGAGAGAGAGAGAGGGAGGGAGAGAGAGAGAGAGTCCTGCTACGATCGACGAGGTGTCTTCGTCTCGGATCGTCTCGACGGGGTCTCTCTCTCTCCTGGGCTGAGATCCTGGGTAGAGAGACTGGTTGCCGATTGCGCAGCTATCCACCTGACGACGACGACGTGTGCGCGACACGGTCGTCGGCGAAGTAGTCCCTCTTAGCGATCACTGATCACTCGTAGAGCACACCGTCCACAGTTCGCGACGACACACTGGGCGACAACACCAGGCGACGCTGGCTCTCGGGCAATTTTCGTCCATAGTTTCTCACGAACGTGATGCGAGCGACGATACGGTAACATCGATCGCGCAACGGATGTACCGTTCCCCTGAACCTCCGCTCTGACGGGGGTGGTTCCCCCGCGGAGGCAGTACGTCGCTCCGGGACCGGAGCACCGCTCTGTCGCGGCGCTCCAACGACCACCTGACTCTCGCTGTCTCCTCGCTCGTCTACGTCCTGACGTCTCACTCGCTGTTCCCGCACGAGAATCACACGCGAAACTCTCCCGCTGGCTCCGTCGACTCGAGTCGAGCTGCTCACTCGCGACGAGGCTATCGATTCAGTCGACGATCACTCATCCCGGGTAAAGGGATCCGAACTTGCCGAGTAATCACTATTTCGTCTCGACGACGACGACGATGTCTACGACGATGCGAGTGTTACTCCGCACTGGCGCCGTGTCCGTGGCCCCGACGTGGTGGACGCGTACCGACGACGACGATGCACGACGCGACTGCACTCGGGGGTTGCCACCGCGGACCGACCGAGCAGCGAGCGAGCGACCGACCGGCTCGGCGTAAAGGGACGTACGACGGTAATCGCGGAACGGAAGAGACTCGACTCGGCGGGAGTAGAGTAGGTATATGATGTCGTGCGTGTGTGTTCCTCCTGGCGGTGGATGTCCCTCTCTTTACGTGAGTGTACGTGTGCGTATACATACGTATACGTGTATGCGTGAAAGAGCGTGTGGGTGAGAGAGTATCAGGACAGGGAAAGAGAGAGAGAGAGAGTGTGTGTGTGAGAGAGAAAGAGAGAGATGGAGAGAGCGAAAAAGAGAGAGAGAAAGAGAAAGGGAGAGAGAAAGAGCGAGAACGTGTACGTATATGTGTATGTGTATGTGTGTGTGTGTGTGTGTGTGTACGTGTGTGTGTGTGTACAGCGTCGGAGGAGATACGGGTTAGAAAGATCTCGCTCGGGCTCTCATGCGTTATGCATGTCGTAGCTGAGAGCGACTGACTGCCTCGCCTCGCAGCTCGCCCGAGGTTCCCGAGGTTCCCGGAGCGCTTGGTGGAGGTTCGTCATGCGCGCCACCGTCGTCCGTATCCCCACCGTAGCAGGTTGCGCGGTTGACGATTGGCCGAGCTCGCAAGGTGGCCGTCGACGTACGTCAGCATCAGGCGGAACCTGGTGTGACCGCGCCTACGAGGCAGGCGAGGCACCCCAGGCGCCAGTCCTTTTACCCCCCTTGCCGTCGTTCGACTACGTTCGCCTGGCTAACGACGCTCGTTCGCTGACGCCGCCGCCGCTGCCGTCGTCACCGCCGCCGCCACCGTCGTTGCTGCGCCGCGCCGCCGCTGTACCGCGGCAGCAACCGCCGCCACACCGTGCTGCGCCGCGCAGCAACCGCGCCGTTCCGTTGCTGCAGCCGCCGCAACACGGAGAAGCGACTCGAACAGACTCGACGCGCGGCAGCGCATTCGCACGTTCGTTGACGCACGGCTCGCGCAGCTTCTCCTTCAGGTGCACCCACGATTCCTCCTCTTCCGAGCTTCACGGTTTTCACGTACGTTTCACCGACTACCCGATTATTCCTCCGGACGACGCTCTTCGCCCTCGGCTCGATTTTTCGCGAAATCGCAGGCGACGCGCGCGTGCACGCAACAGGTACTAATTTCAGCGGATAATCGTATGCGCGCCGAGGCACGACAAACGTCGCGACTGCTCGCGCGAGAGTATTTCTGTCCCCCCTTTGTTTTTTTTTCCGGACGAGATATATCCTCGAGCAACGTGCACGAGGCAATCGCGGGAGTCACGTGAGAGAGAGAGAGGCGTGATTAATCGGCGCGAGCAATGAGCGACGATAAAATCTGCGAAACAACCGCGAAGCGATCTCGTCTCGGGATCTAATGGGTGATTACGGTGAATCCTCAATTTCTCGGTCGAGCTGTCAGCAACCGGCGGCAACCGTTGGCAATTGCAAGCGACCGTCAGCGACCGTTCGAAACTGTCAGCAACTGTCGGAGACGCGTGTCCCGAGACGCGCTGACTCCGCACGATTCTCCTCGCGAGGAGAGCCCGCGACGGCACACCCGTCACGTACGCGGGCGAAAGATCAATTTTTCAGGCACAGCCGCGGTACAATCCTGCCCGTCGACAGTTTCATTTCCTTTTCGCGTAGCTCGCGGTGCAACAGGTGCACACGGCTAACCGTTGGCCTCGACTCGTCCGCTGATTACGCGCGCCTTCGTTATCGATATTCCACGCCGCTGCGCGTCCCCCGTCGCCGTAGCGGGGAAGAAAAAAGATCAACCGAGAAAGATAATCCGGCCGGTCGCGCCCCCGTTTTACGGCCGGTTCTGCGAAGTTTCCCTCCGGGAAGCGACAACGTCGCGAAGACGTTCCTTCAATTAGGAAGCGCACTGTTAGTCGCGCGGTGAAACGTCCCGCAGCTAATTACAGCCGGGAAAAATGGCCGGGAATATATAGCACACGCTATTCGGCCTGTAAAATGTCGCTCGGGAACTACTCCCAACTACTCCGCGATTCGACTCGAGCTTTTGTGGCCACGGAGAATCCGGTCGAAGATCAATCGATCGGCGATTATGCGACAGCAACAGGTTAATCGGACCAACTGATTAATTACAGAGAAAAGTGTCCGATCCCCGCCCGCGTGAGGGGGGTGGAGAGGGTGGTATCAATAGAAACGGGACGGACAAAAAGCGAGCGAGCGAAAGCGAGTAAGTGCCACTGAGGAGAGGGAGGGTGAGGAGGGGGCGAGGGGACGCGCGCGCGAGTGAGCGAGGTTTAGTACATTTAAATGAGAGCCACAGGTAGCAGCATTATGCAGTACGTGCCAGCCACCCCTCAGGAGGGGTGAGTTAGATCATCGTGTGCCGCGGGATCCTCCTGTGTCGTAGTCTGTTTCAACTACCCGGCTGGCTTTGCTCGCCTTCGCACCTGTGGCCGCGCGCTCGCGTTATTGTTGCCGCTAACTTCCTTCTTCTTCTTCCTCCTCCTCCTCCTCTTCTTCCTCCTTTTTTTCCCCGTATTTCTCGCGCGTGCGAGGAAGCGCGGCTAATTATCGCTCGTACGAGACGTACGTGAGGTTCTCCGCGCTTCGAGCGTTACGATAAGAAAAAAAGTGGAGGAGAGAGACTCGCTCTGTCCTCCTCTTATCCTGCGAGTCTTACGACGGAGAAGTTGAATATTTAAAGGATCCCCTCGTGTCGGTGAGGAACCGATAATTACTCGCGCTGTTCGGCGTTATCTAACGCCTCATCTAATTGATATTAAATTTATAGTTAAAGTCCAATTAAAATCTAATGTTATAATTGGACGCAATGGAATATTATTTTATGTTAGCGGCAACGCATCGCTGCTGAAAACATCCGTAGAGAAATTGGCGTCCACCGACCGGGATCGTCTGATTCGTCTATGAAATCGTCTAGAAATTCTCGACAGATTATTATTATTATTAAATAAAGAAAAAATTCGCTATATAAAACGCCGTATTAGCGGTCGCCTCCGGATGCTAAGAGATTCCGCGATTTAGAGCTAAAAGTCTCTCTCTATCTCTCTCTCTCTCCGTTCGCGAGAATTCCTACGAGGCATTCTCCAAATAATTTTCCGCAAAGTGCAACAGTTGGCCGTGGCGTTTCTAGGTCGGCACGGTAAAACTGAGGACCTCTCAGCGTTCACGTCGGAGAAACCATGTCGGTGCAATGCTCATTATGTTCAAAATATCTCGATGCCTCCGTCGTCGTCGTCGTCGTTCCGTTATATCCGCCAGCGACGGATCGGTTTCCGCGGAATCGGCGAAACTTCACCTCACATTCATTGCGTTTTTCTTATCGTCGCCGGCGACGCCAAGCGGGCGCACCAAAGACTCTCCGTCGCCGGGAGAAAAATTATGCATTCCGCGTGTACGCGAGTGTACGTTGCCACGTGAAGGTGGCCTCCGGAATTTCTCTCGCCTTTCGTCCGTCCCCTTTCTCCCGCCGGGGCTTGTACTCGGTCTAGCTAGACGGCGCAGGGCTTATCTCGCGAGCTTATCTCGGACCTTAGGCGAAACCTACCGACTGTAACGTCGCGAACTATTATTGAATATACTCAGCGACCGACGTACACGACGCCGCTGCAGTTTCATCCTGAGGATACACTATGTGTGACGTTATTTGTATTATATAGATTCAAGTAAGTAATTACTCCAATTACTCCTTAGCAAATATTCTCACTTAGATCAAGTAATATTTACTTTATTCAAATGAAATATTTTCCAAGTACCTATGCTTAATCCGCGTGAAAATTTGCTAAGAAGTATTCGAGTAATTATTTCCTTGAATCTGGCACTTTTTTTCTGTACAGATATATTCCGCTTGACTGAAACAAGGAAAGGACGGCACAAATCATACGGAACAATAGCGAGAAAGAATATATTTTTCAGAAATATAATAATATATAAATGACAAATAAACTTCTCGCTAAAGTCATAAATGCTCCCTAACTTTTCCTGCGAAGGCGAAGGATACGGCCATTTTCATTGCACAGAAAAACCGAATTTTCTTTTGTTCAGCCTAATTTCTAAAAGTTCTAATCCTCATGAAGCAGACTCGTTTCTTATAACCAGAAACGTCCTGTTTCTCTCAACCGAAGCGCGTTTGGTTGTCTATTGTCAAGTGGATCCCAACCAAACTCATTTTTCAGTATGGTCGGCCGTCCGTCTTTTCTGTTCGTTTTCGCGCTTTTATTTCGTCTTTTCTTCCTTAATCCTTTTTTTTCCTTTCTTTTACCTCGAGAGCCGTCCGGCGCTGACTTTTCGCGGCGACGTGACACGCTACGCGCGGTGATCTACGAGCGGCCGATAGAAGGCTCGCGCGAGACGCATAAATTCGCGTTCGTTACGCGCGCCACGGTGGCTCGTCGGTGCGAAGAGAGTGCCACCGCTCGTCGCAGGACACCTCGAGCGAGCAATAGCGGGGCAGCGGGGAAGGGTAAGGGGCAATAATAGAATCGTCTTTACATATGTATCGTCGGACCTGACAGATTATGAATGACGCTGCTTAAAATGCCGAAGACGGATCGCGCTCTCCGAACGCGCGCTCGTTTCCCTTCCCGAGCGTGGCGATACGACGCCAGTATAGTTTTAACGCAGCGCGCGCACACGCATCCTCGCACCTTCGGCTGAGTGCATAACATCGGCTAAGAGCGGAAGAGGGTACCGAGAACGAGCGAGAGGAAGAGAGGGTCGGTAAGTCGGGAGCCTGGCTCGTTACTCGGCTCGGCACTCGCAAACAAAATTATGGAGTATCCCCAGCGTAGCGAGATGGACAAGAGGGTAGATCGAAAGAAAACACATCCGAAGGTTGAATATTTCTCTCTGAGAGTTGCATTGTTCGGCACGAGAGGCCGGAAGCACGCGCGACATTTCCGCAATAATGTCGCGCGTGGAACAGTAATTCGCAGCGATCATCGAGAACAACGCGGCAATCATCATTTCGCGATCTCAGAAACTGAGATTGGGAGACTCGTCGGTCGGCCGTTTCACCCGGTCGACGGAGAAACCTGCGGTTTCTCCAGTCGATCGTTATCTTCCTCACGGTCGCTCTCGCAACCGTCCCGATCGATCGAGTGGGTCACGCCGTCATAATGCATCCTTAATTCGATTTCGTGTACCCTCATTGTGTCAAATTGGATTGAATGCTGCCGTGAAATATTTGCTTAGGATCCGGCAGGTAGCTGGAGAGAGGTCCGCTCTGCTCTTCACGTCGCACACGACGCACCGGATGAAAGTTGGGGAGGAAGACGGATGAGGGATGATGTAGGGATGTGTGGCACGAAAGCGG